CTGCAAAGTCAGGTACCCACATTTTAACTAATGTGCACCAGGAACAGCACAACTTTTTGAGATCAGAATACAAAAGGAATCAGACTTCAAAAACTGGCAAGTGCTCAAGAAACAGGTAGAATTTAGAAAATTTTTGTACTCGTATCTATTCAAATGTGAACAAAGTCTAGATGTTTTCAGTTTTCATCTCTAGCACAGACATGAAATGAGATCAAATTATCTCTTTGCCCTTCTCAGGATGATCACAGACCGAAACACGCCTGGACGTGATGCTCCCAGGACGGTCTCAGCAAAGGGCTGGCACATGACAAAGGAGAAAAAGGCAGATTTAAAAAGTGGGGTTTTGCCGTCTTCTCGTATGGAAAATGGATCTATTATTCTATATCCACCCCTCCACTCAAGCTGTGTCAGAAATCCCTGTTGTCCTGCTTGCTGAGGAGGTCTGGAAGAGCAGCCAAATTCATGGCAGCAAAAGAGAATTAATCCCTGCAAAAAGGACACAGGAGTGAGGCGAGACTGTCACTGGCCTCAGGTGACCTGCAGCAGGACATGGCACAAGTGTAATTATCCCTCTCAGTGCAGCAAGGAAGAGGCCATGGCACATCTTAGGGATGTGGTAAGGGTCAAAATCAAATTGTCTGTGTTCTCTTTGTCTTCTTCCACCCAAATGCCTTCTCCGGGAGATAAAGGGAAATACCTCATATTTAATTTCAACCAGAAAATGGTTTATTAAATAGGCTTATTAGAAAAATTTTTAGGTCCTTGGTCTTAGAGAATTAGACCTGAGAGTGTTGACAGGCAAGGGGTGTCAGGTTTTAGATCTGCAGGCATTAGGGTCTGCTGCATGTGTGGTGGAAAGCAATTGCTTTTATATAAGACTTTTTCTGATTTACCTAATCAGGCTGCCAGACCACGCCAGTGAGCAAGCACTGCAGAAATGTAAAATAACATATGCAGTGGTAATTCAGGGAGAAAGAAAGTCTTTTTAATAGACTTCCCTGGACACGAAAGAGCTCATGAATTAGCACAGAAATTCCTGGTCAGGGTAGGACTGTTTCTGTGCTCAAGGACGATGTCCAGGTGGATGTTAAACAACTTTAGCGATGGCTACAGTACCCTACTGGTGTTCTACTATGTTGTATTTTGAAAGTCACATTAATCAGTCAATCAATCAGAAGAAGAAATACAACTTTAAGAGAGGAAGGTGACTAGGGACTGACCCATCTCCATAATATCTTCATTCACAGCAGTTCAGGAGAGCTAGTTCAGTGTTATGGGAGGCACCTTGGTCTCTCTTGAGCACCGCGGTGAACTCGGCATTTGGTCCTCAGAGAGCCCAGGCACCCATAGTCCTGGGAGTGAATCAGATTCATACTGAGGTTTCTGATCAAACAGAAAGTGATGAAATTCACACAGCTGACTTATGATTCTCCTCTTCACATGAGACAGAGAGATCTTGGGCTTTCTCTTACAGCTGACACCCACTGTCAGCAAACATGGGCATAATTGTGCCTTCTTGTACTGGGAGAAGAAACACATTTTTTGATATGTCTGAGATTGTATTTTGAAAGATTATATTTTGAAATGTCCTGGCTTTTCTTGTGTCAATGGCACAGCTCCAGATGATTATCCATGGAGTCAAAACAGCTTCCAAGATGCATTTCTACAGCAAGACTGAAAGTCTAGGAGAGCTATATAGGCGCTGCAGAAATTAGACGATAGAGAAAAGTGTGTATGGAGGAATCAAGTCCCTTCGCTGAGGAGCAGCCTGTCTTGGGGATGTTGCTGTTAGTGCTCTGCTAATGGTGCTGTGTGATGGGCATTGCTCTAACAAGCACTCAATAAGGCCCTTTTGAGAAGAGAAACGAGAAAAACACAGTACCAGAGAATTACCTAAAATTCAGATCAGCTCTGCAGCTAGTCTGCAGAGGGGTCATTCTTCAGCATGAAAGCACCAAGCAAATGATAAAGGCTGTGATAATTATCCACGTCAGGCTGCACACAGCCACCAGCTTGGACAACCCCTTCTCTTCCCCTTGCCCTGCCTGAGAGCAAAGACCAGCACACGTATGGTAAACACACAAAAGAGAAAGAGCATTTGTGTGTCCTGAAACAATTCCCTGATGTCTGGCAATCAGGTTTGTAAGCTGCCAGCACCTGCCGCTGCGTTGCTGTATCGCAGAGAGTGCAGCTCTGCTCCCTCACCCCCAGCCTTGCAGAGGTTTTCAGCGCTCCCACCACTCATTAGTGAATTCACCCTCGGCTTCTTTCCAAGCAATTTGACTGCTCTTTAGTCTCAGAGAGCCAATACTGGAGGGGTGGCCACTACTGGAGGATTTCTCTCTGCCACTGCATTCATGAGGAAAAATCTATAGGCATTTTCTGAAAGATCTTTTGGGTTTTTTTTGTTGTGACACTTAAGATGATCTCCAACTCTTGGGACCTTCAAATTCAGAGCCATAAACACTTGTTTTGATCAGTTTGATACCAAGATTGGTGATGTGGGGTTTTTTTAACCAGGGTGTGTGTGTGAATTTTTCCTTCCACTTTAAAGAACCTTTTTAATCCTGAGGAAATACGAAGAGTGTTTCCATATAAACAAGAGGTTCAAATACGGACTGAGTAAGCAGAAATCCTTAAAACCAGGACTATTTTATCACAGAAAGCTGGGACACCTAAACAGAGCAATGCTGATACAAGACTCATTCAAATGCAGTGCCCATCACCCTCAGACCCCAGTACTGCACTTTCCCAAAACCTTCTCAGAACACACACGGCACAAGATTAGAGAACTAGTCTTCTCCAAAACACAGCTACAGCTCCTGCTTTCTTTCAAGACAGCCATTCTCCTCTTCTAGCTAGTACTCTAGGGGTTAAAGCACTGGCTTGGGATGGGTGATGGAGTTTGGGTCCCCTTTTCCCTCTGTCCAAATGGAGGGGAATCATTACTGTAGGCGGTGCTGCTCACCCTCTGCTACGGCAGCTCCGCATCTGGCGGAGAGAATTCGAGATTCCCTGGGCAGAGAATAAAAGAGCACAGAAGGAAGAGCAGAGCTGTAGTCCTCCCCAGGTGTTCACACCCTGCTCTGTTTCAGTTAGTACAGAATAATCTAATCCATCTCATTCAGGGTTTTTCTTTTTGGGATTTTTTTATTTTCCATTTCCAGTTCCTTTTACTGAGCTGGGTGTTTGCAAACACTGCCTTACGACTGTTTACAGAAAGAAAATCTTCCTGTACAAAACTGTGATCTCTGTTCTGTATCCTCCTTAACTCTGAGCCACGCATTCTGACAGCCATAGTCCCAAGGCTATCCCAACCCCTTCAGCACCCCCAGACAAGGTTGTCCCAGGAGCATGGGGACCAACGGGGACAGGCGGCAGGACCAAGAGCTCATGACACGGCACAGGCAGAAGAAAAGGGGGAGTTACCCTTCTGTGCACCCCATGCAGGGGCTGCCCAGCCCCTGAGAACATCAGAGATCAGGGGGTGAAGGGGGAAAAACAATATTTTCCCATACCATTTTCTATGTGACCCCCGATGTTTAATGAAGAGCCTCGGAATCTAACCCCAATGTTTTATCTAACAAGGCCACATCCAGAGCGCAGCGCCTAACATCTGCTTTACTGATAATTGGCTCAAAGTGGCAATTTGTCAACGGTTTTAAGATAATGAGCTTCCTATTTGTGTTCCAGCCATCCAAACTTCCAGATAAGGAAACACACTGTAGCTACTGAACGTCAGCTTCTCTCTGGATACAATACTGCATGTGCCTGTGCCTGCCTCTCCCACAAAAACAGGAGTGCTGCCCAGCAGTGGAGAAGTTAATCATGTGTCTTTTGAAGTCTGGCTGGGTACAGACCCTTTGGATGAAAGATGCTATCTAAATATCAATTGTCATGATTTCAAGAATGATTATGGTTATTTTGGCCATATTACTAATATTAAGTAGTAGTATTTTTTAAATTATAAAAATCTCTGCACAGAACTCAAAAGAAAGCTCTAAATATTGCTTATTAGAAGAGCCAGTCAAAATGTTTTCTTCTAAGCACTCACCTTGTGAAAAATTCTCGCTATTCTGTATGGATAGTTCTGACATTTACCCTGAAAAGCTGCAGAAAACAGTATAACAAAATTGTTTGCCATAAATCATTTAGGTTTTTGGTTTCATTTTAATTTTGCAGGAAAAGTTTGATAGAAAAAAAGAAAAAAGTTCTTAGGATTCCCCCACAAAGCCTTTGCACCCTTGTCACCAGCTTTCTTTGCCTCCTTGTTAGCAGTCACTAGTGGAGATGTGCAAATGGATGCCTTAGAAAAACAGCCCACAAAATTTAGGGGGGGTTTGCTCTTTTTGCTCTTTCTCCATATAATCTCATAATATATGTGAATATGTTTAATTTAGTCATTGTGTTTTTCATCTGCCTGTATGGCTGCTAGCAGCAGGAAAAGCAGTTCTGATAGCACTTGAAAGATATGTCAAATGTTCCTCTGATGAGAAAGCAAGCCAGATAATCTAGTTTCAGTCTCTGGGAAGAGGGGGCTCCGCACAACCCATCAAGCCTTGTGCCAGCTGAGCCTTCCCTGCAGCCCCAGGCAGCAAGCAACCCCTGATACCATAACGGAGAGCAACCTCCCGGCTCAAACAACGTCCTGTGCATGAGGCACTTCCACCTGCGACAGCTCCAGGGTTTTCCTTCTAAAACACCTTGAAGGCGTCTTTTCTGCAGTGAAGGAACTGTGCCACATCTGATCAATAATGTGAACGGAGCTGTGCCGCAAAGCGCCGTGAGCCCGGCTGGCTCAACTGATACAGATCCCTTTCAGAGTTTTCCTACACTGATGAGGATTCAGAGAGCATTCTCCAAAATCAGCTACCGGGAGAGATTTATTGCTGTACTGTTCCCAGCAGGTCCACATCTGCCCTTCGGCTACTGCTGACAAGCAACAGCACTGAAGAAGCTCAAAGCGACTGTAATTACGCTCTGCACCCTTCTGTTCGTACCTGTCCAGCGAGATGCAGCACAGGTGCAGGATGGACGCTGTGGTGAGCAGGACATCGAGGGACGTTCGGACCAGGCAGAACATCTCGCCGTAGATCCAGTTGTCCTGAACCAATTCAATGGCTCCGAACGGCATCACCAGCACAGAAACCAGCAGGTCCGCAAAGGCAAGGGACACGATGAAATAGTTGGTCTTGATTTTCCTGCAAGACAGATCACAAAATCAGGGTGAAACAGTTTCAGTGCAGCATCTTCTATGCGTGGACAGAGATTTCAGCTTGTGTTTGGGTCTGATTTGCTCCATCACACTTGTCGTGGTTTAACTGAAACCAGCACAACATTAAAAGGTTTCTCTAACGTACTCCTCACCTCATATGGTCACCCCTAGCTCGCTCCTGGCTTTTACAGCTAACTATCCACTGTGTTCCCTGTATGAACACACCTTTCTGCCCCCACAGAAGAGGCAAATAGATGCTCACAGGCCTCTGCATCTGGCTCGACCTCACAGCTTGCATTGGAGAGTTTGGGGTGGAGGAGGGGGATTTTGTTTTAACTTGTAAATTGAGAAAATCCTTCCAGAAAGTACTAAGAAGAATCTAGACTGAAGCTGTAATTTTAACTTGAAGAGTACTTTTTAAATCATAACAATAAAATAGAATTAAATCCATTAAAAATCCCACGCAGAATATGAATAGAGGCTGCTGAATCTCTCGCTCTGCTCCGAGGCTGGTCTGACAGCTCCCAGGGGTAGCAGCGAGCTGAGACAGGAGTTTTGCCTGTGACCCCCCCCAAAGCACTGGCAGCACTCGCCCAGCTGCAGCAGCAACAGGACCTTCATCCGTGTGACTTTCCGATCGGCTTGTTAGGAAATCTGAGACGGAAAGGGGTAGAGGCCAACCTGCTCCTCCCAGGAATTGCTGCTTAGCTCTGTTTTTCACTGATTTCTCTGGTTTTTCAAACCAAGAGTGTTAAAACTGTAGAGGATGGACACTAAACGGCTCCCACCGTGACGGTGTGAATCTGAGTGGGGACGTCCCGCTGCCATGGTGCCGTGCATGGCCAGAGACCCCTCCATCGCGGCGGGGTGTGCCCTCAGCTGCGGGCACGGGGTTTTTGCGGTGGGGATGCTCCCCT